AGTTTTGAAGGCCTGTAGGTCACATACTTAGGAAACACCTTTTGCCAAGGCATTGGTGGCTTTGTCCTGGAGAGTGAACACCTTCATCCTACCTCAAATACCCACTAACCGACTTTTCTCGGGGACTGGGAAACGAAGCCTGCAGAGGCAGACTCTTGTTATTCATGCATATGAGCGTTTTTTCCCTGCATGTATGTGCAGCAAATGTGTGTCAGGTGCAAAGGCCAGAAGTGGGTGTTGGGAACTGGCATTACAGACGTGAGCTGTCATGTAAGTTGCTCTTACCCACAGAGCAATCCTCCACCCCCATCCGTTTTAAATTGCACTTAAATACATATGTTTGAGCTCCTTTGGTCCATGATCCGCCAGCCAAGTCAGGTCCCGCCTTGCCGGTATTTTATTCTTTTGGGTTGGCTTGAGGAGCCAGATTCCAGCCTGATCCTCAATCCGATGAGGCTCCACTAAGGTATATCTCAATTACCTGTACTGTACACCCGCTGTATATTCCCACTCCCTGGCCGGGAACCAAGCGATTAACGACTTCGGACTAGTTGCAAGGCTAGGAACTTGGACAAGGGTGAATTTCAGAGAACCTCAAAATGTGAGCTGCCCAGGGAGGCCAGCCACTGCTTCGGCCAGGCCACGCCCACAACCGCCACCCTCCCTTTTAGCTGAATTCCAGCCTCGCCCCCCGACGTCACGACCAAGGCTAAGGGGCGGGCTTGATTCTCTGCGGAAGCGTGATTCTAGACCCGGGCCCAAGTAGGAGCTCTCTGGGACCGCTGGGGACTAGCAGGTAGCGCCGCCACCTGCAGGGTCTACAGTATGGTCGGTCAGTGGGAAAGGGGCTCTGGTTGCAAGAGGCTCAGCTGGCGGGAGCGGATGTCCGCTGGAGGAGGGTGCTGTTGATACGAAGGCGCTCAGCAAGTCAGGCTGAAGGTTTCCTGGGGAGGGGAAGCTATAGATACCCTGGTCACCCAGCTGTCGGCGTCCACATCTCCAGGCTGAAGGGGATCATAGATTCCGAGATCCGCTAAGCTGGCAAGGTTTGTTTCCAGGTTGGAGGGGCCCCTGGGGTTGCTGGGTGCGGGCTTGGGAGTCGCACACTTGAGGCGGCATGGTCTAGTTTGACAGCTCGTCCCGCGCTCAGTCAGGATGGGCAGCAGCTCGCTTTCAGAGGACTATCGCCAGTGCCTGGAGCGCGAGCTGCGGCGGGGCCGCGCGAGCGTCTGCGGCGACCCCTCGCTGCGCGCGGTGCTCTGGCAGATTCTGGTGGAGGACTTTGACCTGCACGGGGCGCTACAGGACGACGCACTGGCGTTGTTCACTGACGGCCTGTGGGGCCGTGCTGACCTGGCGCCTGCCCTACGCGATCTGGCCCGCGCCTTCGAACTCCTGGAGCTGGCCGCTGTGCACCTGTACCTGCTGCCCTGGAGAAAGGAATTCACCACCATCAAGGTACGGTTTGTCGATGTTCCTCCACCCCCTTCCTTGTCCGGTCTGTTGGTGGCTGCAGGTCCTCTTCAGGGAAGAGTTCCGTGCTGAGGGGCTGTGGGCGTGTTGGGATGCATGCCTACCAGGGAGTCATTCACCTAAAACTTACATTGTTGTCCTCAAAGTAGTCTCACTGCCCTAGTTGCTATGGAAATTCTAGGATAGATGTGGGTGGGAAGGTGAGGGAGGTACTTGATGTCCTGTGGTCATCTTAACACTTCCTGGATGTGGTCTGATCCCATCTGTAAAAGGCCGCTAAGACTGAGAACAGCAGGCTGGGGACTGGAGCATGGCCCTTGGTCCTGCCTGGGTCTAGGTTAGGCGGCCAGGTCCAGGGCTGGCCTGGTCCTTTGGTCAGCTGATGGACCACCGAGGGGGGCAGGGCCACTCTGAGCTAATTTTGAGTGGGAAGGCAATGACGTTAGTGAGCACGTGGGCGAGGTAAACCTCCACTGGTTGCCATAGCAGCAGCTCCCCCTCCACACCCTTTTCTCTCCCTGCCCCATCAGCTTGCTGCTCCATGGGGACAACTGAGATCCTGGAACTTTCATTCATTCTTTCAGGCTAGAGGCCAGCCTACCAGCCCCAGAGGACAAAGGCAGTTAAGCATGGCTTTGAAATAAGCTAGTTCTGGCAGTGTTGGGATGGAGCTGGTGTGGGTAGTCTCCTAGCTGTGGGGTTTTAGAGAAGTTACCTCTACTCCCTCTATGCCCCCTTCTCCTAAGAGACCACAAGAACAGTCAAGGTGCAAAGACCTAAGAAGGTGTTGGGCACCTTAAAGGGTCTATGCAGGAAAGTGCTCCAAGGATGCCTAGAGCTGTAGACTTCCACATTTGGAAAAGATCCAAAATTACCCTGATTCCCTGTTTCTACATGTAGCTTTGATATAGAAAGCACAGCCCCATCTGTTAGTATGGTCCTGTCACCAGCTTCACATTAGACATAGCAAGGGACAGTGAAAACAAAATGCCTGGTCTGATAGTCATAGATCACCAGGACTAATGGGGGGGGGGGGAAACAACAAAAATAAGGGACAGAGTATTCCTATAGGCTGAGGCAGAAGGATGGTGAGTTTAGGGTTGAGCTGTTTCAAAATAAAAGACCTAAAGAGCTGGGTGGCAGTGGTGCACACACCATCCATCCTAGCATTTGGGAAGCAGAGAAGTAGGAGGATCTCTGAGTTCCAGACCAGCCTGGTCTAGAGTGAGTTCTAGAACAGCCAGGGCTACACAGAGAAACCCTGTCTTGAAAAATCAGGAAGGAAAAACAAAACAAAACAAAAAAAGAAAAAAACCAGATCTAAAAAGCTAGGGATATGGCTCAGTGGCACAGTACTTGCTTAGTATACACAAGGCTTCATTCAGGCTCTCCCTTAGAGGAAAAAAAGATCCAAGCTCACTCCAGCAGATGAAAACAGTTTCTGGGGGTGAACACAAACTTCAGAAGTGAACCAAGGTCAAGGCAGTACTGAGTCCACACAGTTGCATCCAAGAACCTCTATGGAAGCACATTCCTGACCAGGACCCTTCCTTGCAGACCTTCTCAGGGGGCTATGTGCATGTGCTGAAGGGTGTACTCTCTGAGGAGCTCCTGACTCGAAGCTTTCAGAAGATGGGCTATGTGCGCAGGGACAACCACCGCCTTATGGTGACCACCCCACCCCCTGCCTGCCAGCTGGTTCAGGTGGCCCTAGGCTGCTTTGCTCTTCGGCTGGAGTGTGAGATCCTAAGCGAGGTGTTGACCCAGCTGGGCACAAGTGTACTACCAGCTGAGGAGCTGCTCCGAGCACGACGGGCCAGTGGGGATGTTGCCTCCTGTGTGGCCTGGCTGCAGCAGCGACTGGCCCAAGATGAGGAGCCACCACCCCTGCCCCCCCGGGGCACACCTGCTGCTTATGGGGCCCCAGTGGACCTCTATCAGGACCTGCAGGAGGATGAGAGCTCAGAAGCTAGTCTGTATGGTGAGCCCTCTCCAGGGCTGGACTCACCCCCTGTAGAGCTGGCATATAGGCCACCACTCTGGGAGCAGAGTGCCAAACTATGGGGCTCTGGAGGCCAGCCCTGGGAACCCCAAGCTGATGATCTGGACCGGGCCAGCAGCCCACCATATGGAGCTCTGGAAGAGGAAATGGAGCCAGAACCCTCTGCTTTTTCCTTCCTCTCTTTACGACGTGAGCTGAGTCGTTCAGGAGACTTAGCTACCCCTGAAGCCCCTGTGAGCCCTGGGCAGGCCAGTCCCCGGCACAGGCAGACAGAAGGAGCACCAACCTCAGCCTATGGGCCTGTTGTTGAGCCTCTGGGCTACCAGGCACACAGCTGCTTGACCCCTGGTAACCTGCCTACCCTCTGCTGTGACACTTGCCGCCAGTTACATGCTACCCATTGCACCTCCCTATCAGCCTGCCGCCCAAGTCATTCATTGCGCATACTTCTTGGTGACAACCAGAGACGCCTGTGGCTGCAACGGCCACAGGTGGATACCCTGATCTATGACAGTCCTGGGGCCCATCCCTAGGCCTAGATGGACCCCAAGACAAAAGTTTGGGGAGATAAGTTTCCATGGTGCTTCTTTTAGGAAAGGGCCTAGGCCACTGGCTGCCCTGGCCCTCCTAATCCCCAGGGGAGTCCAGTACCTACAATTGGAAGAGTGTAGAGCCTTCATGGAATGTTCTTGCCTGGGGCTGTATCAGGCCCTCCTCACTGACAAGCCCATGCCTCAGTCCTGTCTACAGCAGGCCCTGAGCTCAATCAACAAGCTCCTTCCCTCATGTCCCTATCCTTATGCCCAGATGTGCTGGGTAGAGAAGTCCAGGTTGTCCATGGTACAGTACCCAAACTCACTCCTAGAAGGACTCGCCCATTCCCACCCCCTCAAGTGTCTGAAGCTCCCTACCTGCTCCCTGCAGTCTATGGTTCAGGATATGTCCCTCTCTCCATGTGATGAGAAACCTTTACCCAGAGGCTTGCTCAAGAGCCTGCAGATACTTGAGATAGATTTGGGCCATGTGGGAGGGTCTGACAGGGTAGAGCTCACTTAGCTGTGAGGCCCCCTGCTGTTAGTAAGGAGCCTTGCAAAAAAGACAGGCAGTGGGAGGAGCTCTCACCAGCCCCCCCAGCCCTCATCCAGCAGAAATGGTTCTCAACAACCAGCTGCCTCCTAGCCAAACAGGGGGTGAGCATATACAGGCCACCCCTTGGGCTACTACCAAAAAGCAGCTCACTGCCCCCATGTAGCTCCTTTACAGGAACAGAAAACCAGAAGAAAGAAGTTACACTCCCTTTTCTCTTGAGGTAGCCCAGGGCCGCTCATTGGGAATCCCTAAACCAATAATCCACACAATGATAATGAAGGGCTGGGTTTTTATCAACCATGCGGGAGGCCCAAGTACAGCTACTACTGCTCTGTGATGTTTCCTCTACTGGCACCCCCTCAGCCAAGCCTGTTCCTATCCCTTACTCCCAGCCCCTCAGAGGACACCATCCATGTTGCATGGAACAAAACCCGAGTACATTAAAGGATTGTGAAACTGTCTATTGGAAAGGCTTTTTATCTCTCCATCCCTGGAAAAGGAGCCCACCAATTCTTTCCCTGGGTATCAGTGCCAGCCACATCCAGCAAGGGCTCTCATTCTGACAGTCTTAAAAGCATCCTACCATGGCCCCAACCAACACTCCCTCCTTCCCACCTGAAGCCCCACCACCCTGCCCTGGGTCACCTCAGCCTGTCTGTCCTGGACAGCTCTTAGTGACCAAGCAACAGTATGGTCTCCTGGGCCTGCTCACTGCAGGTTAATGCCTAGCTCCAGTTCCAACACTATACTGATTTGGAACTTTGGGCCTTAACACTAGCACTGCCTCCCAAGAAGCATGGCTTCACTGACAGACAAGGCTGCCATGAGTAACAGGCCACCAGATGGTGCTGTAACAGCCCAGTCTTTGCTGGGTATCCCCACTCAGCAACATCCCTGTCCATAATCTACTTGCATCTGGGCACAGAGGATAACAGGGAGAAGTCAGCTGAAGAGAAGGATGTTAGCTGGAGGGGCCAAAGGCATCTTGGCCTGGAGGGTCCTCCCAGTCTGCCCACTGATGATCCATGAGGATGTGCAGGGATGGGCTGGACCCACCATCAGGGCTTGCATCGTTTGTTCTGCCCTTCAGTGGCAGCTGGGGCAGCACGCTTATTTCGGTGGTGGGGGAAAGTGGGCATGAGTTCCGGCTCGCAGGCTGCAGGAAAAGGATAGCTTCAGTGCTGGCTTGGAGAAGGGCTTCCTGGTGGGGCATGATCCATGTCTAGATAGGACTTCTCTCTTCAGCTGACCATGACCCTCCATCTGCTCCCTACCTTACCCCCGTGGAGTTTGCCCATTCTACCCACATAAACCTGCATTGGGAACCCACCCAATATGGACAAACAGGGCGTTTTGTCAAGCCCCCAAAGAGGAGACCCCAAGGAGATGCTGAACTCACGTAGGGGCTTTTCTTTGAAGTAGGAGCTCTCCAGACAGTCCCCTGCGGTTGCCCTGGTAAATGACAGTAACCTTTGGCTTCAGAGAGGCCTATTTCACTCACAACACAGCCAGCCTCAACAGCCCAATTCAACATCCAATAAATGGAGGCTGGAGGCCTAGATACTGACAGTCAAAACTCAGAATGGCTCTAAGTCCTAAGACCACTCAAACTGGTTACCTGGCACTTATGGGAAAAGGTATCTACAGTCTGCGTTTAAAAGGTTTGCTGACTTGAGATGTCTCAGTGCTAGATGGTTCATGCTTGCCTAGCATGTGCCAAGGCTGTAGTTTCCTATACCCCACACCACAAAAAGTAAATTAAGGATCTGGGTTTAAGGTAGCCTTCTATCTGAAGTCAGGGCCCTCTCCTTCTGAGGGGCATGGCCCATGGAGCTGCCTACAGGAAGGGTTTGTACCTTTTCTTAGGGTCATACATGAAGAGGAAATTGAGCAGACGAAGTCCGGCCTCTGAGAGCCACGGGAACTTGTGTTTGAGGTTGTTGTAGGGCTGTTTCCTCAAGCTGTACTGGCCGGCTAACGGCAGCTTGGAGAAACCCTGTAAGAAGCAGGGGCTGAAGCTACAGTGCCACCAGGCAGAGATGGGGATTGAGGGTTGTCCTTAATACCCACCGGCCAGATATTCTCACTCGGAGTCCCCAGCAGCTGCACAATCAAGTCGATCTGGTGGATCTCCGAAGTACCAGGGAGAAGGGGCTTATGAGCCAGCAGCTCTGCCAGGATACAGCCAACAGCCCTGCAGAAGCAGCCAACCTCTGCTTAGCCTCATATCAAAGTACTCAGGAAGAAGTAGGCAAGTGGGCAGCAGGCTCTCCCACCAGGTCTGCAAATGCTGCCTTGTGAGAGCCTCGGTGCCAGAGGCCAGTGAGCACTCCAGCTAGGTTCTCATGCTTCCCCCTGGGTCCCAAGGTCAGGCTCACCACCACAGCACCAATCCTGCTCCCCCTGTCCCAGGGCTGACCTCCAGGGCCACGTCACTTGAGGCCCCAGGAGCAGAAATCACTCCTACCACATGTCAATGCTGGTAGTCTGGGTAGTAGTTCCAAGCAGCAGCTCTGGGGCTCGGTACCTGCAGACAGAGGCCACATTTTACTTCTGGTCAGCTCCTCTTCTTCAGTCTGAGCTCCCTCGGGGTCCCCAGTACCCTGAGCAACAGGGCCATTACTCATAGCTTGAACTACCCTCTACCCTAAGCCTGAGAGAGCCACCATGTCTATATTACAAGATCCAAGGGACCATCAGCTTGCTTTCAGGAGAGGCCATGTAAGGACCCTAATGAGAATGTGAGGGACATCAATGCCCTGCCCTTTGCCACAGCCTCATTCTGCCCTAAAAACAACTACAGAAGGCTACACTACCCATCCTGAGACAGAGCCAGGCTATTTATAACTAGTTCAGTGCAGGACAGCTTTCTTTCTTAGGGTTTTTGTTGTTGCTGCTGCTGCTACTGCTGCTTTTTGAGACAGGGTTTCTCTGTGTAGCCCTGGCTGTCCTGGAACTCACTCTATAGACCAGGCTGGCCTCAACTCAAGAGATTCACCCGTCTCTGCCTCCCCAGTGCTGGGATTAAAGGCATAACTGCAAAGGGCTATGAGGAAGGTATACTCATTCCTATGGGCCACCACAATTCTAAGGAACTCACCAGAGGGTGACAACCTTGGGAGTCATTGGCTTTACTGGAACACCATAGGCCCGAGCCAGGCCAAAATCAGCTATAGTAGGAGAGAGGAGAAAGAGAATATCAGAATATCACTCAATGAGGACAGACAAGTTGCTATCTGGAAAGAGCTGGACTAAGATGGCCTGGGGCTAGGAAGACAGACAGGCCATCTCTGGTTTTCAAGGTTACACTGACATCCCCAACTCCTAAACATATGCTCAAAGAAACCCAGCCCCACATGTGCAGTGTTAGCACCCAGTACTTACCTGTCTTTACACAGCCCTTATCTGTCATGAGCAAGTTGGACACCTTTAAGTCCCTGGGTCAGAAAGAAAGCATTGGTTTTCGAAAAAGTGAGTTCCAAAGGGCAACTGACACACTTTCCTGGCATTTAACTAAGGTCTTCTAAAATCAAGAGGGTGGGTAATAGTATGGAACTGGCTGCTGGGAAGCCAGCAAGCTCATTAACCGAGCAGCAAGTCGAGGCCGGGTCTCCAGCCATGCTGCTACTTTGCCCATGTGTTATTCTAGCAGTTTCTAGTACAAAGGCCAAACAAACGGCTACGAGCCTCACAGTCCTCTTTAGTGACAGCCAGCTCACTGTAGGCAGGTGCTCTCTACTGAAGGCTTCCGGCTGCTGTTCTCCCATCTACCCACCCACCTTCTACCTCCCAGAAAGATGAGGGCTTCTCAGGCTTGTTTGATCCAAGACCCTTGCCTGGGAGCAGTCAGAGAATTTTTACTGGGTGTTTGCTCCTCTTCTGAAGATATTCAGAATGAGGCACTGTGGGAAGCCAAAACTATACTATTCCTGGCCCTCTCCCTCCCACCCCTCAGACGCCCCCAACACACCTTCCTCTTGATTGTCCCTGCCCACCTGTGGATGATGAAGTTCCTGTGCAGGTACTGAAGGCCACGAAGCACCTGTAGCATGATGCATTTAACCTACGAGGAGGTTCAGAAGCACAGATTGGAGCCCTCTGATACACTGCCTGGCAGTCACCAGCAGCCTCAGGAGTATGGCTGTTGCTATGTCCTGCACAGCCAAGACAATGTCACAACAGACTTATTTATTGTATACATAGGAGCATGTGGCACACATGCATATATGTGTGGGTGTGCATGCATGTGTGTGAATGTAAGAGGCTGACATCAAGTGTCTTCATCAGTTGCTTCCTACTTTACATATTGAGGCAGCATCTCTCATTTGAACCCAGGGCAGGTCAAATTTAGCTGGTCTAGCTAGCCAGCTTGCCTAGAAATCCTGTCTCTACTACTTCCCTTATGCAGGGATTATAAGCAGGCTGCCATACCCACCTAACATTTATATTGTTGGGGATCCGAACTTTGGTCCTCACACTTGTATGCACACATGCAGTTTACCCTCTGAGCCATTTCTCTAGTAGCTTGATATGTGGACTGAGAAGACCTGGGGCCAACTCCCAACTTCCCAGTGTGGGTTCCCAAGCTCCCATAGTACCCTACAGGTAGTAATTCAACTCATTAAGGCCCTACATGCTGTGAAAAAGGGAATGGATAACACCATCCATTTTCAGCTGTCACATTCAATGCAGCTACCCCCCAACCAGGACCTGTGAAGCACCTTCCTGACATACCTGGGCCTCAGAGAAGGGTGTTGGCATATTTTCCAATAGGCTGGCCAGATCTTGTTCACAGTAACCCATCACCAGAAAGATGCTAGAAGGAAAAAAAGAGGAAACACATGCCACCTTCTATTTTCTTCCTAGTAGGCAAAGATGTCTGTGCCTGCTGTAGATAACTTCAGGAAACCACACACCTCTCCAGGTGATTGCCCACAACCACCTCCTTCAGCTCCACAATGTTTGGATGGCGGAGACGTAAGAGCAATGTGATCTCACGAAGGCTGCTGATGGGAATGCCTGTAACCAAAGGGACTCAGTGAACCCTACTCCACTACACCTGGGACAATGATAACCACTGTCCCCTCATCAGGGAAATAACAGTGATACCATTCATACTCCAGCATTCCTTAAGGATGCAAGGCGAGTGGGCAGGGGTACTGGTGTATGTGCAGGGTGATGATGAACTCACCAGAGGATGGGGCAAAAGGGTTTGGAGAGAATGTACAATTTTATAGCTAGCTAAAGTAGGGAAAGTCTGGCAGGGCTTAGGGAGCTCAAGCTCCGGCTACCGTGACAGGCTGGGCCAGCCCCTTAACCACTATGCACATACCCTCAGAAGAGTTCAGTCCTGAGAAACCTCAGGTAATGTGCTTTTCTGCTCCCTCCTGATCTGATGTCCAGGGCAGGGTGGTCCTGCGCCCTGTTCCCAGCTTACCATCTTTTTCTTTGTCCATCCGTACCTTCTTCAGGGCAACAATTTCATCTGTCTGGGTATCCCGGGCCCTATCTGAAACAGAAGCACATACGAGATGGAGTCTATCTCAAACCGTCACAGCCCCATCATGCCACACAGGAGTCTGTCTTATGAGTTTCCTGGGTTCCTTTTTCTTCTCTGACAACCTAATGCCCAGCAACACCCGGTCCTTCCTTTTCAAGATTTGAGCTTAGGGATCCTTACTGGAGCTGGGTCGGGAGTTTGCAGTTTTGCCCTGAACTGAAAGCTGACCACCAGCAACTCATGCAGGAAGGAGCTCTCCTGAGGTATTCTCTTTCACAGGCAGCCCGCTGCCTTCTGCTCACTTGCACTACACTCTAACAGCAACTAAGTACTCCATCTAGGGAGAAAAACTTACTTTATGTGATAATGGTTTACAGAGCATTGACTTGTGCAACTTCCAAATACCTTGGCAAAATGACCCACACCCATGGAGCTGCAAGGAACTGGTACATTTATTGATCAGTTATTGCTACTCCACAGTTATATATTTGAATCACTGACATTAGCAACTTGATGCTTATGTTTATCCAGTCATGGTGTAAATTTTGTGGAAATCACACCAGGAATTAAAGTATGAGAAGAAGCTTTGGCCTTTGGCTGGAGCCACAGGCTCCTTGTCTTGACCACTCACACACAATGCCATAGGTGCCCTCGCCAATTCGGTTCAGCTTCTCAAACTCCTTAACGCTCCGGCATCTTCCAAGCTGAAAGACAGGAGTAGCCAGTGTGGGGATCTGGAAGCTAATGGCACACAAATGGTGATAAAGCTTACCTATGCCTGCCACATCGAGAAGCCTGCTTATATCTTGCTCACAGAACAGAAAAGCAACCACATACTTGGAATTTTCTGATGAGCAGAGGGGAAGAAGGACACTAGAACCACTTTGAATTATTGAAGCCACCTTCCATACTCCCTCCAACCTGGTGTTCCAGATGTCCAGATGTCTGCTAACTAGTAACAAATGGCTACACCTCTGTGAAGAAAGATCTTGCCTCCAACATTCAGTTACTCCTTTTTTTGTGTGTGTGTGAGACAGGGTTTCTCTGTGTAGCCTTTGCTGTCCTGGAAATAGCTCTAGCTCTGTAGTTGAGGCTGGCCTCGAACTTAAGAGATCCTCCTGCCTCTGCACCCCAAGTGCTGGGATTAAAGGTGTGTGCCCCCACTGCCCAGTCCAAGATCTGATCTTTAACCTAGCTTCTCACAACCTTTCCCCTTAGGTTTCCTGTTTACTCTGCACTTGCCTTTCCCATGACTTTGTGCTGCCACCTGAATTTGGCATGCCATCCCTTGTCATATTCGTCCAAATTCTGGCTACATTTCCTGGTCCAAAACAAATGTCAACTCATCTACAAATCTCTTATTGAATATACTTTTTTCTCCAAAACCTTTTTTTTTTTTTTTTTTTTTTTGTCTTTGCCTGTTTCTGAGGTCTCACTCTGTAGCCCAGCCATCCAATTTAGGGTAAGCATCCTGCCTCAGCCTCCTGAGTACTGGGATTACAAGCCACCACGCATATTTGACATTTTTGTCTTGAGGAGCCAACTATTATACATATTCTCCCCCTTTGGGAGCAGATTTCGGATTTGGCTACCTCAGCTTCCAACACAGTGAGTGCTCTGACGCTCCGAGGTAGTAAACTTAAGTTTATGTGCCTTGGCCTTGAAACCATAAACAAGAAGCTAAAAACATAAGCGGGCAGCTGCAAACCTCTTCCCACCAACTGTTTACTTGAGCACAAATCAGAGCCCTTAAGGTTTACTTTCCCCATCACACAAAAGGGACAATACAAAAAATGTGGGTAAAGAACTATCAGCAAGCTGTGAACTCTGAGCTGAAGGTACCACCGGGAACGCCCCACTTTTCTCACCCGCATGAACTCCACGTCCCACCCCGCCGCCTCACCGGGAGTTCGCACTCCGTCGGACCCCATCCGCGTGCCCCCTCCCGCCCCCAGCCGCTTGGCTACGCATTTCTGCACACGCCGCAGCAAGGTCTGGGACTGCCATCCCTCCGATGCCGGCATCTCAAACTTTAACACCACAATGACAGCATCAGAGCGCTTCAGTCTGGCCCTGCCACAGAGCCTCCCGAGTGGCACCCCGTCGCACCCTATGTTCTGGAGGCACGGTGAAGAAACCTTCCTTACGGATACACTTCAGTCGGATCTGATCTGACTCAAGGTCCACCTCCGCCATGCCAAAGCCGGTGCCGCCCCACCGCCCACTTCCAACGCGCAGGCGTAAACCGCCCCTCGGCGCAGGCGCACAACGTACTTCCGGCTTGCTCTGGACTTGACAAACATTGGTAACCTCGCCTAAGCATTCCCTGGAGGGTCTGTCTGCTCTCAGTCTCCTCGTGCCGCAGAGGTCAGGCCCATTATCAGCATTCGGTGCAGGCACGACCGCACGAAGTTGCTCAAAGTACCATCTCTGGCCAAACCTGCAGAAGACTCTGATCCTGATCAGCTAGAAGATGCTTTCCTTTCCTAGTTCCCATTTAAGTGAGACTAATTCCAGTACATCAGCAATGTTGGGTACATTCCCCGAAAAGTGGCTCTGTGGGAACCCATTCCTTCCTGAGGCCAACCTTGTCCCTTCACTAGCCATGGACAAGACAGAAGCCTTGTGCAGGAAGGGTGTACATCAAACACAAGGGAATAAAGAGCTGCTTTCGTGTTCTTTCTACTCCACATTTGTCCTACTGATCTGGGGAAACTTGCCTGGTTTGGGAGACAGCTGGAAAGGAATTAATGTGCTCACCACTAGAGCACAACTCTAGACCAAGAGGTTCTGTGAGGCAGCTTGCACTCAGCTCTTGTACTATATAATGGAACTCAGAACACCATTTGTCTTGAAGCCTTTGTGGAAGGTTTGTATAGATTAGGGAAGTGAATGTTCCTGCCCATGTGGGCACTGCTTAGCTCAGTGCTGTAGTTGGTGTTTGGATTGGTGGCTTATGCCTATAATCCCTGTCATCCGAACACTCTGGAGGCTGAGGCCAGAAGATTTTGAGTTCCAAGCTAGAACAAGTTCGTATAGCCTGGCTATCTCAAAATAAGGCTTTCAGTAGCAAGTCTCTAGCATGATTTTTTTTTTAAAGTAAGATTTCTGCCAGAGTGTTTTTCCTTTTACATTTTTTTTACTTTGAAAATTGTTTTTCTCTAAGCATGTTGTCACACACCTGTAATCTCAGCAGTCAAGAGGCTGAAGCAGGAGGATTGCTGTGTGTTCAAGGCTGACCTGGGCTACATAGTCAGTTCCAGTACAGACTGGATTGGATGTGAGACCCTGTCTCAAAAAGCAATCGTGCTGGGAATACAGTTCAGGGGTAGAGCACCTGCCTAGTACTATCTGAAGTCCTAGGCTCACTTCTCAGGACCACACACACAAATCATTCTTCAAAGTCATTTAGGTTATGTATATAGGCATATATAGTAAGGCCTGCAAGTATGTACTAGATAGTGTAGTACATAACTTACATACTAGCTAACCTTATGTATATATTAGAAACTGCTGGCATGTGGAATAGGAAACAGATCCCCTCATCCTAGTACAGGAGGTCGTTGTGTTAGTGATCATGGTGGACATACCACTGTCCATAGAGGCCATAGAGGCCATCTAACATGGCAGTTAATGAAGATAATACACTGTTACTAGACCACATGTGAGGAATAAGGCGGGGAAGGGCATTCCCTCAAGACACAACCTGACCTGGTTTACTAAAAGATGTCTTACGGCAGCTTGTTTGGCATTCCTAACAGCTCTTCTCTATAACCCTTCATCCATGGGTCAGAAAAACAAGACAGCATTCATAGGCTATTGCCAAAGTCCTAAGTGCCCTGCTGCCCTCCTCAGCTCAAGGCCACACTATATTCTTTTGAGTCTTTAATACAGACAGACAAGCTAGGATCCCACCAGCCTTGGGGCCTCTCTGTTCTTGAATTTAATAGTTCACAGACTGGCCTTTCCCCCAGACTTGGGGGCGTGTCATTTACTAACTTCCAAGTGCTTCCACCACACCTTCTGGAGCAACTGAGCAGAGTAGATTTGAAATGCCCACCTGGGGAACAGTGTGAGCTTCTGCCTGAAGTCTGCCACCCACAGCTGGCCATTCCCAACACACATGCTGGTCAGGCCTTCAGGACTTCCAGATTTACTCTCTGAGCCAGCCACCCTCTCCCCATCAAGCTGCTGACTTTGAGAAAACTAAAAATGTCACTGCACTGAGACAGAACTTCAAAGACTGGAGAAGGGTATTCAGTGCCAGCACAGGGAAGGGTGGCCCTTCTGTCAGCTTAGCTGATACTCAGATCACAGTAAACAATCACAGCTACCAGGAGCTCTCATTTATTCTGTGTTGTGTACATCATAGGCTGCTACTGTGCTGGGGCTCCTGTGTCGGGAGTAAGGGCCCCAGTCAGCCTGTTCACGAATGGTTCTCTGTTCTTCACTTTCAAGGAGACCATTGCTGATTATCGTCTCATTTGAGGCTCGAGTGATGATGATCTGCGGAATGACACTTTTCTTCTTGATCGACTTTTGTTTTGTATCAGGTTTGTCTAGAGGGAAGAAAACATCCAACCATTTAGTGGGTATGTAGAAACTTCTTCCACAATGAAGACAAGGTCTATCTATCTTAGCTCCCAGTAAAGGAAACAGATTCATGCCAACAGGAAAAAACAAAACAAAACTGTGCCTGATGATTCTATTCCAACACTCAAACAAATTCAAAGTTCAGAGAGGTGGCTATGAGTACTAGGTAAACCCATGCAAGGAAGAAACAGAGGAGACTACATTTCATGAGGTGCAGGACAGCTTCAGAGTGACAAGTACAGGATACGACATTCTTTTGAGTCTTTAATACAGATAAGCTAGGATCCTGCCAACACTGAGGTCACTCTGTCTGCCATTCACAGGGGGCCATTCCCAACACACACGCTAGTCAGGCCTTCAGGACCTCCAGATTTACTCTCTGAGCCAGCCACCCTCTCCCTGTCAAGGGGCCTAATCAGCTAGAAGAAAGTGAATCTACCTCTGAAGTTAGAGGGTTCAGGTGCCCAGTTGCCAGAGAATTTCAATTTGTAAAACCTTCCAGTTCAGAACTTTATGGATCAGAATGTCCTAGAAATACATTCCTGATATTCTTCCACATTTTCACACACTTGCTGAGGTTACAGGAAGTGCATAAACCTGGAAAAGCCATAGGATATGTATGTTAAATGTTAAATACACAAACAGGCCAGGAGGCAGCGGTGGTGGCACACACCTTTAATCCCAGCACTGGGGAGGCAGAGGCAGGTGGATCTGTGTTTGGGGCAGCTTAGTCTACAGAGTGAGTTCAGGACTGTTACACAGAGAAGCCCTGTCTTGAAAAACCAAATGAATAAATAAATGAATAAATAAATATGTTGAGCCAGGCATGGTGATGCACACTTTTATTCCAAGATCTGGAGGAGACAGAGGAAGTCAGATCTCTGTCAGATCAAGGCCATCTTGGTCTACACAGAGTTCCAATACATCCAGGGATACATAATGAAATTAAAATATTCATTGGTACAATGCATACCAACCACACATGAAGCCCTCAATTCTCGCCACCACACAAAATCATATCAACAAAAATAGCTGGGTATGGTAGCACATGCCTTTAATCCCAGCACCTGGGAGGCAGAGGCAAGAGGATCTGTGTGAGTTCAAGGACAGCCTGGTCTACACAAAAAGTCCTGGGCCAGCCAGGGAAACACAGTAATACCTTACATCAATCAATCAATCAATCAATCAACCAACCAACCAACCAACCAACCAACCAACCAATCAATGTCATTGAACATGGAGAAGTCAAGCTGGTGCCTACCTGGAGCCTTCACCCCTATTAACCTATTCATGGTGCTGAATGGTACTCTGCATACTATAATTTTATCTTTTTATTTCTAGCCACCCCCCCCCGTGTGTGTGTGTGTGTGTGTGTGTGTGTGTGTGTTTGTTTGTTACTTATTTCTCATTTGCTATGCCTGAACCTTAAGGGAGGAGTATATTTTGTCTCCTAATTTAAGAAGAGATACAGTCCATCATGTCTGAAAGGTATGGCCACCAGAGCACAAAGTACTGCCACCCACGTGAATAGTGAGTCTTAGTTAACCTTATTTAGAAACCTTCTCACAAACATGTCCAGAGGTTTGTCTCTTAGATGACTTTAGAGCAGTGGTCCTCAACCTTCCTGATGCTACAAATCATTTAATACAGGCTCTTCATGTTGTGGTGACCCCCCAACCACAAAATTATTTCTTTGACATTTCATAACTGTAATTCTGCTACTGCTATGAATTGAAATGTAAACATCTGGTATTTATGATATCTTACATGTGACCCCCCCCCAAAGGGGTTGTGACCCATGTGAGAACCGCTATCTAGATTCTGTCAAGTTGACAGTATTAACCATCACATCTTTCCTGGACAGGTTACTAGAACTATAATCTCTGGATCAAATTGTATGTTTTCAAACTATGGTAAATATTATCAAATTAACTGAGAGAAGGGACATGGTAGCACATACGTGCCTGTAATCTCAGCATTTTTTATTCCAAAGCCAGCCTCAGTTGCTTAAGAGACACTTCCTCAAGCAAAAAAGCCATCATATTTGAGCTGGGATGTAGCTTCATGGTAGACTACATGCTTAAGGTCCTAGGGTCAATCTCCAGCGTCAAAAAATACCAACTTAAGTTTCTGCTAGAAGACTATAAATAGAGCTGTGTGTAGGTAGCAAAGGACGTGTAGACAGGAACAGCAAAAGTTCAAGGTCATCTTTGGCTGAATTATAGGAAGGTTTTCTTGTTTTTTTTGTTTTTTGTTTGTTTGTTTGTTGTTTTTTGTTTTTTGTTTTTTGTTTTTTGGACACAGGGTTTCTCTGTGTAGTCCTGACTATCCTGTAACTTGCTCTGTAAACCAGACTGGTCTTGACCTCAGAGATCCACCTGCCTCTGACTCCTGAGTGACAGGGTTAAAAGCAAGCCACCACTGCCCAGAAAGTTTGAGGCTGATATTATTTCAGAAAACAAGACAAGCTAAGAAAATCATTCTCTATCAACATAAATTGTTTTACTCATTTTTATGCTTTGAGTTCATTTTGCAGCATTTTTCTTTCTTAAAAACTTTCTGGTCTTAGCTGGGTGGTGGTGGCGCATGCCTTTAATCCCAGCACTTGGGAGGCAGAGGCAAGTGGATCTCTATGAGTTTGA